TGTGACTAAATAAAATCCTTCTATGTTAGCACTTCTAAATCTTAATATACTTGCAGAAAGAAAAGAGGGAAAAAAAAAATTAAGCAAAAAACAACTATATTAAAAGGAAAAATGGTAAGATATGAAAAGAAAGGGCAGCAAATACAGAAAGATAATACAACACTTTATGGACTATACTAGTGTCTATTAACATTGTGGTTCATCACCAGTAAGATACTGTACCTCACAATGGCATGAAAAATCATTTCTTGCACAATGCTAATAGCTACTTGGCTCATTTACAAACCACCATTCATAGAAAGTAGGAATCATGTAAGCTTAATATAAGGTGCATCAAGGGCTTATATAGAGTATTTACAAAGGTACATAATATAACAAAAGGACGATTCATTGTAAAGGCCTGTGCAATGTGGCAAGATCTCAGGACTTGCAAACTAAACAACTGCCTGTTGTTGTTAAGAAGTGACAGTGTTTATTCAAGATACGACGTAATGGGTTTCCTCAAAAGGGTAGCTTGAACATGTCAATTTTGGTAAGGCACATTTTCCTATTACAGAAACAACTTCAGGGTGTGTCAAAACACTTCTGGGCCCAATTGCTGAAATACCATCTTATGAACTTCATCAAATTTAACAAGAAATTTTGAAGTGACATGGCTTGAGCCAATATACCAATCTGAATGAGGAAGGGCTCCCAATTGTCCAAGTTATAAAGTAAAAAAGAATCATAATAAAAAAAATGACAATGACAATAACTAAAAAACATACACTGACCACAACATGAATATAAAACAATAAAAATAATTTAAAGAAGAAAATACGTCCTATAACACTTATGAGAGCAATGCTTCATCATTCTGTACCAGTGACTACGATACAGTATGCATCTGCCAATTAAGATTTGACTCTTACAATAATGCGTGTATACAATTCAAAATAAAATAAAATGGGCAATTTCCTTATAAAATGTCTTTACATCTCTGCAGTGAAGAATTCTGCTTAACAATAGCAACTTGGTACTTAGGCATTCACTGACAAGAAAAAGCACTCTTGTTAAAGAATTGAAAAATATTTGTAATGAGTGTGGGGAAGAGAAAAAGAGAAAAAGATAAACTGAAATAGTTCTAAGAATAGAATACATGTGTGAATATTTCAACATAGAACCCTGATTCTATGACAGTACTTTGTATCCTTTCGTATTTTGTATGAGATAAAGTGAAAAAGGATAAAGAAATAGACAGAGAAAATCAATTAATTGAGTGCATAAATGAGCTGAGTGAGTGAATGAGTGAGTGACTTTGTGTTTATGAATGAGTGAGTGTTTGTACAACAGTTACACCATTTTTATGTTCTATTTTTCATACTAAAACCTGATGAGCTATAAGATTGCAAAGGGAAGTAATATAACAGGAGACATGTAATGATAGATGAAGACAAGAAAGAAAGAAAGAAAGAAAACAAAAGAAAAGAAAAAAACAAAAAACTCAAGATATGTAGCTCCTATGATAAGTATGTGATCACTCCAAATTATTCAGTTTATATTTAAAAAGCAAGCAATTTAACCACTCAATTAATCCAATATGAAAAAGCACTGAATTGAATTGCTCTAAAAATCCACAAGGAACTGAGCAATTTGCACATTTACCTGAAGCACTCGCAAAAGGTTATCACTGTAATTTGAAGAATGTACACATAGATATCTATCAACACATAATCAATGAATAATTAATATTACATGAAACAAAAAAGAAACAGGCTGTTTTGAATGCAGGTGCCACGAGGTAAGCCACACACAGATAAGTCCCAATGAGACAGCCACTTGCACCAGGCTTGATAACCGGAAGGCCAACGAAAGTGGGCAGGGATCCATACAGAGAACCTGAAGGGAAATAAAAGAGATTAATTTGAATTTTTGTGAAAAAGAAGAACAAGAATAAGAAAAACATCATTGAAGAAATAGGAAGTAATAGAATGATAACAAATTGTAATTGTGGTTCTCTCTGAAATTGATAACAGTTTTAAGAGGCTTTCATTTGAACATTTCTTCAACCCACTAGCCGTAAGTTTATTTGGTGTTCACTGAATTTTTTTTTTAATTCTGTTGCTGTAGTCTGCATGGATATGTTAGTCCCTGAAGCACCTGACAACTTAATTTCCATGCAAACTGAATTACATCTATGGAAAGGATCTCTGGTATATAGAATATTGGGGCATGATGCCTCTTGGTAATGTTGGTTGTTGGTAATGTTGTAATGCCTCTATTTGTCATTAGTCACCCACTTGCCATTGACAAGGGGAGGTTATGCCAGATGAATTCAAGCGACTCCAACGACTTTTTTTCCCCTTTGACTTGTAACTTGGAATGCCCAGGAGGACCACAGTTAAGGAATCTATTGTAGTAATGAAATATTGTAATGAGTGTGGGGAAGAGAAAAAGAGAAAAAGATAAACTGAAATAGTTCTAAGAATAGAATACATGTGTGAATATTTCAACATAGAACCCTGATTCTATGACAGTACTTTGTATCCTTTCGTATTTTGTATGAGATAAAGTGAAAAAGGATAAAGAAATAGACAGAGAAAATCAATTAATTGAGTGCATAAATGAGCTGAGTGAGTGAATGAGTGAGTGACTTTGTGTTTATGAATGAGTGAGTGTTTGTACAACAGTTACACCATTTTTATGTTCTATTTTTCATACTAAAACCTGATGAGCTATAAGATTGCAAAGGGAAGTAATATAACAGGAGACATGTAATGATAGATGAAGACAAGAAAGAAAGAAAGAAAGAAAACAAAAGAAAGGAAAAAAAACAAAAAACTCAAGATATGTAGCTCCTATGATAAGTATGTGATCACTCCAAATTATTCAGTTTATATTTAAAAAGCAAGCAATTTAACCACTCAATTAATCCAATATGAAAAAGCACTGAATTGAATTGCTCTAAAAATCCACAAGGAACTGAGCAATTTGCACATTTACCTGAAGCACTCGCAAAAGGTTATCACTGTAATTTGAAGAATGTACACATAGATATCTATCAACACATAATCAATGAATAATTAATATTACATGAAACAAAAAAGAAACAGGCTGTTTTGAATGCAGGTGCCACGAGGTAAGCCACACACAGATAAGTCCCAATGAGACAGCCACTTGCACCAGGCTTGATAACCGGAAGGCCAACGAAAGTGGGCAGGGATCCATACAGAGAACCTGAAGGGAAATAAAAGAGATTAATTTGAATTTTTGTGAAAAAGAAGAACAAGAATAAGAAAAACATCATTGAAGAAATAGGAAGTAATAGAATGATAACAAATTGTAATTGTGGTTCTCTCTGAAATTGATAACAGTTTTAAGAGGCTTTCATTTGAACATTTCCTTCAACCCACTAGCCGTAAGTTTATTTGGTGTTCACTGAATTTTTTTTTTAATTCTGTTGCTGTAGTCTGCATGGATATGTTAGTCCCTGAAGCACCTGACAACTTAATTTCCATGCAAACTGAATTACATCTATGGAAAGGATCTCTGGTATATAGAATATTGGGGCATGATGCCTCTTGGTAATGTTGGTTGTTGGTAATGTTGTAATGCCTCTATTTGTCATTAGTCACCCACTTGCCATTGACAAGGGGAGGTTATGCCTGATGAATTCAAGCGACTCCAACGACTTTTTTTCCCCTTTGACTTGTAACTTGGAATGCCCAGGAGGACCACAGTTAAGGAATCTATTGTAGTAGTGGATGCCTTGAACAAGGCAGAATAGTCACTTTAGGGAAATATCTTCACTGACAGGAATGAGGTTAAGAAGTGTGCGACATCTTGTGGAACGTTTTAGTGAGGACGATTTACTCAGTCCAGGGTGCAAACGTGGTAGGCCAATGTTAATCGTTCCATGGACCAAGAAAATTCTTAGAAGGTAAGTGCAGGGTAATCCTTTGATAAAGGCCCAAGATATCAAGGAAAAAAAAGACAACTCCTTGGAAATGCATCAGTGGTGCTTACTGGAATGTCCCCAACACGTTCTTAATTTCCAAAGTTTTAGGACTTGGAATAAACCACTACTCAGTAGTGTTCAGAAAAAAAGTGCATTGCCTTTACCATTAAATATCAAGTGTGGTACCTTGACACCTGGCAAAGTGTGACTTGGTCAGAGGAAGGCATGTTTACTTTGACTGGCAGCAACAAAAACAAAAGTAAAAAAATAACATAAAAGTATCTTAAAAATCAATGAAAAGGGTAAACAGGTGAGACAGGTAGGACTAATAACTGATTCCTTGGTGACTAAACACTTGTTGACTCATCTCTGTAGAAACACAATCAATTAACTAATATTACAGTGGTGGTATGGTATGCATTTATGCCAGCCAAAGCTAGTTGGATAATAACCTTAACCTATTTTATAGGATTGTGGTTAACTGCACAATGTGCACTCAGGTCTATTCACTCTGGAAGACGTGTCAAAAACTGTCGTTATGAACAAGATGTATGTAGCTATTATACACATTAACTGTTACATATATTTTCATTTATCACTGCGTTACCTCCTGGTATATCATCATGTTTCTACTATTAATGCTTACAAATATAGGTAAATACATATATTCTTGTTTTATGTGATGAAATGAAAAATTATTTCAAAGGAGCTTTACATGTTCATAGCAATCTATCCCATTTTCACTAATACAGAAGGTGTTTTTGTGATAATTTTTTTTTCAACTTTGGACTCTAATGACAGTCACTATAGTTTATTTGAGATACAACAATGACATACATTTTCTGGTGCATACATTGGACGGTTTGCAGTTCACTTGTGAAAGGTAAGACTAAATTCAATGCTAAAAATACTCATTAAAAGCTTAAACTTCAAGGATAAAAATAGCTATGCAATGTCTTTTGTATATTAATCTTTATGATCTACATCATTACATCATACTGCCATGATATCATTCACCTAAAACAATGTAGAAATCTTATTAGACTACTTGTCTGACTTACACAAAATTCAAGTCTGATATTACTTACTATGTTTGTTTTCTTTTTCTAAAGATTTCTTGGACTACACTGAAAGGGTGGGACTTATGTCACAAATATATTACACATTTTGTTTCCCTTTTCACATTTAGGTTCAGGGACCTCTCCTCTTTCCACCACTGTGTAGGAAGTTGAAAGGCATAAGCTTTTTGTCTATTTAAAGGCACTAACCCTTCAAATCTTATGTAACCTGAGTAAATATAAGATTTGGCAGAAGAAATGTCACCTTTCTAAGTCTCACTTGAGAGGATTTCCAGTGAGCACAAATTTCATACAAATTATAAATCCATTTGATGTAAAGAATCAGCTTTACAATAATTTGAATTATGGCAACAAATGTGATAATAACATATACATATATGCAAAGAACTGGGATGAGAAAGGGTAGTAGATGTGGCCAAACCTCTTTCCATTTATGCAGCTTGTTCTTTTCTCATTTCAGTATTTTTATAAGCCTTCTCCTTTTTCCAAGTCCTTTAGCTTTCTAAAACACAAAAGAAAAAGTCCAGGACATGCTATAAATATGTGATAAATGTAAGGATTTTCTTGTGAGAAAAGAAGGAGAGGAAAAGGTAAAAGAGGTCCCAACATTGGGCCTCAGTCTCTGCCCCCGAAGCCCCTCATGGCACAAGACATGGGATGTAATGGGATTGAAGGGGGGGGGGGTGATGAGGATGTTGAAGAAACCTGTAATGGGATTTCTTGACACTTCTAGACCATGAGTGCTACCGAAGTGTCTCCTAATTTTTCTTTAGATGCTGCCACAAAAAGACGATGCAAGAAGGCTAGAAAATAGTAGGGGATACTTTATATTACACTTTATTTTGGCTGCCCCCCACTGGCACCATCTAGGCTTACAGCCCTTGTGCTCTGGCCTCCAGCTACCCTTGAGACAATTCCCCTTAAGTACTCCTCTCATATTTTTGAATGATTAAAGATCTGTATTTTCAAGTTGGATTTTTTTCACCCCAATTTTATGGAGCTATGGCAATTACAGTTACTGTGTTTTAAAAGTTGAAAATTTATATACTTTTTTTTATAAAAAACAGGTTTTCTTTAGAACATATAGCTTTTTTCTTTACGTCAATGAACACTTCATATAACCTACACCTAAATTCCCATGGAATAGTTTCAGATTCCTTAGTACACACTACCACTAAATTTACTATACAGCAAATGGAACTGATTCTTTTCATATATATAGTAGTAAGAAATATAATATGCAGTTTTCTAAGTCTAAAGCAATCAAGAGTGATTCGAGTCTTTGACATCTTTCATTTCTGAAAATAAAATTGATATCCATTAATTACACAAAGGCTTTCCTTCTTTTTTTTTCAATGAAATCTTTACTTTATATAGACAAATCTGGTCAGCCAATAACCTCTTGCCATTTTACATTGTGCTCCTTACTCTGATCACATAGCGTACCATGCTTATGAGGCCCAGGCTGCAAGTTCCGCCATATCATCATCATAGTCCTCTTTGGCTTTCTTCTTGGAGACGGTCTCTGGGATAGCCGAGGGAACTTCTGGAAGCTCGTCTGTGACTCCTGTGGTCTCTAGAAGTTTCTCGTCCAGGGCCTCTTGTTCTAGCTCCTCTAGCTCAGCCAGCAACTCATCCTGGAAGGAGAGACTTAAAAATCATCCATCCAACAAAATGTGACATCAACGTGGTTTACCAAAGCAAGAGCATCAACTCTACCAACACTTAAATATAAAATTACAAAAATAAATTACATGATGATGATGTCATTAAGCTCGAAGTTTTTGGTCTGAGATAAATGAACAGAAATTAAAAGATCAGCACAGAAGAAATCGCTGTTCCTTAAAAACATGACTTAATGATTAAAGATACTCTACCTCATCCACGCCATCACCAAATGCAACAGGGTTGGAGATGGCCTCAGAGATCTCGTGTGCAACCTCCTGTTGTTCTGCAATGTCGTCCATCATGTCGTGAACCTTGTCCACATCCCTGGAAAGAAAATTAATAAATTTTGTAACATACCTAACTGGACCATTTCACTTACTTTTACTTACGGACAATTAAGATGATAGTAGCACATCTAAATCTTTATACAGATAAATTCATAATCCAATGCAAATGAAACCATGAGCTACATCTGTAAACTTTTAAATAAACACGACACTCAAGCTCCAGCCACACAGATCTTGACTTACATGTCCTGGTGTGCTGCCCTCAGGGCCTTGGCAGCTTCATTCATGGTCTGCAGGACTGTAGTGTTTGTGCTGGCCGACTCCAGGGCCTCGCGCTGCATCTCAATGGTGCTGAGAGTGCCGTCAATCTGCTGCAGTTGTTTCTCATATCGCTTCTTACGCTTCAGTGCTTGCAGGGCCACTGGAGAAGAGGGAATAGTTGTTAGACTTTACTGAGTGTCAGCATGAGAAAGACAGGAGATAAGGCAGGGTTAAAAAGAGAAGATAATGAGAGAAATATTCCTAGTCA